TGATCCACTTTCAGTCGATGGCCTATAGTTAGTTGGTTTATTGACAACTGCCTCTTTATCAACTTAAACCTGTAACATTTCCTCTTGATAAGCCTTATCAATGGATTCAAATGAAATTGTCTTCTCTGCTTTTAAACGTGTTTCATTAAGCATATCGTCATCTTTTACGTCATATGTGAAAACTGCCCCTATCGTAGATTGAAAACTTTTATCAGTGGCATCAATGTCAATTTCGATATTTAAAGATTTGTTTTCTTTCAGAGGTTTAGTGTCTGACATTGTATCTTTATCACTTTTGATTTCCGTTGGTGACTTAACCAAAAGATTGTCGACTAGCTTAGCCAGCTATCTATCAATCACTTTCATACTTGGAAACTTTTCACCACTTTCATCTACAATCTTCTCAATATCTCCACTTTTACTTGCTTTTTGGTCTTTACATTTGTTTTTCCTTTGATAACGAGCATCTGTGAACTTTCGGGTGGCATATTTCACTGAAGTTTTCAACTCATTGTCATTCTTCAAACCAAACTTCTCTATAAATATTCCACATCCGTTTCCTATACCAATGTGTAATACAGCTTTGTCGAATGTTGCACTGATTGGAATTATGACGTCATCATTGTTTGGACTAATGAGGATATCTGTAACAAAAGAAATAAAAAAAATAAAACATACAGAGTTTTGAAAATATAGTCAAATATACATGGGCGTATTTTAAAATTTCGGACACTTCTTTAGGGGTATAGTATATACTAGTATATCCAGGAATAAATGCGGATTGTATAAAAGGGCCAGACTTTATATAAATACCTTGCAATATACGCGAACTGTACATGATTGCCAATGTTTCTATATATAACCATGAATGAACGCGGACTGTATATGATTGCTAATGTTTTATATACACCAAAGAATGAACGTTGACTGTATAAGAGAGCAAATGTTTTTTTAATATAACCACAATGAACGGGGATTGTATCAGAGGGCTAATGTTTCTATATATACTCAGAGTGAATGCGAACTGTATAATTTGACACAGTATAGGTCATATCGCGATTTTCCAGCTTTACTGGTGGAGGAAGACCTCAGGTGCCCTTCCGTGCATTATTTCAGGCACGAACGGGTACCTGAGTAGAACCACCGACGTTCCGTAAGCTAGCTGGATAGGCGGACTGTATAAGAGTGTCAATGTTTCTATATATACTCTTGAATGAATGTGGACTGTATATGATTTCCAATGTTTCTATATGAACCTACGAATGAACGCGAACTGTATATAACTGTCAATGTTTCTATATATTTCAAGGAATAAGAACGAACTTGGCCTGTATAAGGGAGCAAATGTTTCTATATATACATACGAATGAACGTGGATTGTATAAGAGGGCTAATGTTTCTATATAAACCTACAAATAAACGCGGGCTGTATATGACTGCCAAAGTTTCTATATATTTCAAGGAATAAGAACGAACTTGGCCTGTATAAGGGAGCAAATGTTTCTATATATACATACGAATGAACTCGGCCTGTATAAGAGGGCTAATGTTTCTATATATACATACGAATGAACGCGGGCTGTATATGATTGCCAAGGTTTCTATATATTTCAAGGAATAAGAACGAACTCAACCTGTATAAGAGTGCCAATGTTTCTGTAAATACCAAGGGATACATTTGTACAACGATTTTGGTGTATCTCTTAAAAAATAAGCAATTGAAATTCATTAATTTATATTTATCAAATTATTTATTTCATTTTCCTTTGAATCATCAGTCTGGTATGTTAAGCTGAACCAAGTAATTTGCTACTTCTTTAGTACATGATCTAACAATGGATTTTTTAAGTGATTAAAAGCTATATATCTGCTGTCTATTGTTTAAATAATTACTGTTTAAATTTTGAAAATAAATACTACATTACCTGTATAGAACATATATATTTTGTGTATATGCGGATGACATGTACATTTAATCATTGCTAATTATTATAAGGAAATATACTGAGTTCCAAGAAGGTAGGAAAAAATATATATAAAAAATGCATGGTAAGCATAGATCAACTGGGACACTTAAAACAGACAAATATGCAAAAGACGATGAATAAATATACTCAACAATAAATTGAAAAATCTATTTTTTTTTGTTATTTTTAGCCCGATTTAAATGAAAAGCTTTTCAGTTTTGGGCCTTTTTAAAACAATTTTAGATAATTATTTTAGAAAATCTGAGAAAGCGAATGATCTGAAATTTTGCTCAGATGTAATTGTGTATACATGTACCGACATCAAATGATAATTAATCTCGAAAAATATTCCCCTCACGTCATGTTAAAAAATCTTCAATGGAGTTCCTTTAAAGAGTAAACCCCCTCCTTAAAATAGCAGCACAATATTTTGTTCTGCGCCATTTTGTTATATTTAAGTACAGTGTTCATGTACAGATACTTTCTATGTTACAACTCATTTCAAAAATCGACCCTTAGACTATGGTTTTACCTTTAATAAATTTAATGATTAGTTGCTGTGCTTTTTTAAAAAAATATTTTATTAAATACAATATAGCTTTTCATATTTTGTATTCTTATTTAAGTCCTAAATTTCATAAAAATCCTTTCATAATTTTAGAGAGTAGATCTACATGTATATTATAAAGTAAATTTTATTAATTTTGTCATTTACAGATATTTCATGCCTCAGAAATCCTTTTTTATAATACTTCAAAAATGTTAATGTTAGATGCTTAACAACTGAACAAAGTAGGACTGAACATGCGTAAAGGTAGAAACATGTAAATAAAGTAGTATTTTGACTTCCATACAAACAAGTCAATATAATTAATTTACAGATATTTCATGCCTCAGAAATCCTTTTTTATAATACTTCAAAAATGTTAATGTTAGATGCTTAACAACTGAACAAAGTAGGACTGAACATGCGTAAAGGTAGAAACATGTAAATAAAGTAGTATTTTGACTTCCATACAAACAAGTCAATATAATTATGTCAATTGCCAACAGAGAAAAAATCATCTATATGAAGTATTTTTTGTAAAACATAAAATCTTTTAATTATCGATATTGACAGGGGCTTTTTATTATTACGTCTGTTACCTGGCTTATTGTCTCCCTTTTAAAATCAGTGACTTGTTTTGATTTGCTTGGCTGATTTTTTGTATTCATCCGCGGTTATTATAAATAAGCCGCTCAACTAGTTTTTGGTACAGTTTGTATGACACGTTTTTCATGGAATGTTTTTCATGGAATGTTAAATTTTAAAGTTTCTATTTGATAAACCACCTTGTAAGAGGAATTTAGCTGGTGCAACCGCTTTCCCAGATCATATGTTGAAATATTTACAGAAAGAAGCTTCTTGTGATGCTATAATTGGTCCTTTTAGTTCTTGTCCTTTTCTAGATGGTATGGTCATTTCTCCTTTAAACACAGTCCCCAAGTCCAATCCTAATGAGAGACGTATTATTTTAGATTTGAGTTTTCCCAAGGATGGTACCGGAGTTAATGATTTTGTTTCGAAGGATGAATATCTTGGTTCAGATGTTGAACTGGTTTATCCTAAAATAGATGACTTTGTGTCTCTTATTAAAGCCAAAGGTCAAGGTTGTTTAATGTTTAAGTTAGATCTGCGTCGAGCGTATAGGCAAATAAGCATTTGTCCATCCAGTTATAATTTAGTGGGTTTCAAATGGAAAAAACATATTTTCTTTGACACAGTATTATCTATGGGGTTAAGATCTTCAGCACATATTTGTCAAAGAGTGACAAATGCTTTTGCTTTTATGATGTTCAAATTTGGTTTTTGTATATGTAATTATTTAGATGATTTTTGTGGTGTGGAAAAAAATGATGTGGCTCATTTTGCTTTTATGTTACTTAGAGAGATTTTTGTTAGGAGTGGCATTGAGGAAGCTCTTGATAAAGCTTGTCCTCCTTCTGACATTATGGTCTTTTTAGGTGTTTTATTCAATAGCAGTACTATGACCATGGAGGTTACTCAAGAAAGACTTGCAGAGATTAAGTCTTTGGTTTCTTCTTGGTTAGGGAAAGAGTCAGTTACTTTAAAAGAGATACAAAGTTTGTTGGGTAAACTTAACTTTGTGGGTGCTTGTGTTAGGTCAAGTAGAATATTTGTTAATAGGATTTTGAATTGGTATAGAGAATGTCATGCTTGTTCTTCAAATAAATTTTTAGTGACTAATGACGTTAAAAAAGATTTGTTGTGGTGGCATAAATTTTTATCTATATTTCAGGGCAAATCTCTGATTGATTATGGGGAATGGTCGCTAGTAGATTCGGTTTTTAGTTGTGATAGTTGTTTAACAGGATATGGTGGAATTTGTGGTAATAGTTTTTTCCACAGTGTTTTTCCTGGTTTCATTTTAAATCAGAATTTGAGCATTACATGTTTGGAGATGTTAACTGTCATTGTTTCTCTTAAATTATGGTGTGCTGTTTTGAGAAAGAAAAAAGTGGTTATTTATTGTGATAATCAAGCAGTTTGTATTGTTATCAATACGGGCAAAACTCGAAGTTTATTTTTACAAAAGTGCTTACGGGAGCTATGTTTTATTACTTCAGTTAATGAGATTCAAATCAAAGCAATTCATCTCAGTTCAGATGAGAATCGCATTGCAGATTGTTTGTCCAGATGGGATTTAGATCCTATGTATATTAATGCATTTTATGAACAAGTTTCTCATGTTTCTTTGTTGGAGAATGTTGCTGTTCCTGAAGATATATTTAGATTTCTTCATGATTGGTAATTGTAATTTGTTTCAGAGAAACAGTTTGTGATTCTCAAACAGGATCTCAGGAAGTCACATAAATCAGCTTTTGCTGATGGTACCAACAAGAATTTGCATATACAGTGGGAAAGTTTCATCTTATTTTGTTTATATTTTGGACTTTGTTATTTACCTGCTTCTACATCAACTTTACAATTATATGCTCAATTTCTTAGTAGATCTTATAAATCAGTGCAAAGTATTAAGAATTATATTAGTGGAGTGAAGACATTGCATATGTGTTTAGGTTATAACATTGATCTTATTAATACTTATTTACTTAATTTATCCCTTAGAGGTATTGCTAGGTTAAATACTTGGGCTGTTCAACGTGCAGAGCCTATTACTTTAGATATTTTATTGGGGATTTTTGAAAAGTTGGATTTTTCTGTTAAAGACAATGTTGTTTATTGGTGTTTATTTCTTTTTGCATTTTTTCTTTGTGCAAGGAAATCGAATTTGGTTCCCACTTCTTTGGATGATATTGATAAAGGTAAATTTTTGAACTCTAATTGTATTCGCAATTGTGGTAATTATGTTTTAATACATTTTAATTGGTCAAAAACTATACAATTTGGAGAAAGAGAGGTTATATGTCCCTTAGTTAGATTAAAAGATAGGAGGTTATGTCCTGTAACAGCTTATGATTTGCTTTTATCTTTGAAAATTCGTCAACATCGTCATGTGTTATTTACTTTACCAAATGGTTCAGTGGTTACATATTATTTGTTTCAGAAAAAGTTAAGAGAATGTATTCAAATGATAGGTTTGGATTGTGAGAAATTTTCCAGTCATTCTTTTAGACGGGGTTTTGCAATTCTTGCACATAGGTCAAATATCCCCCATGAGCTTATTCAATTACTAGGTGATTGGAAATCGGACGCTTATAAGGTTTATTTAGATCTTAATTGGAATGATAAAATTGATATTTTATCTAGGATGTTTGTATTAGAAACAGAATGATTTGGTTATCTGTTTTTCTTGTCATTCCAGGCCTGATGGTTCATATTATTTCTGATTCCATTGCCAAGGACGTTAGCGGCATTTGGCATACCAAGGTGATTGCCTTCCCTGGGATTAACATAGCCCGTCTCTCAGCTAGGATACAGAATGCTCATTTTTTGGTATCAAAACCTTTCACAATTATTCATGTTGGCACTAATGACATTAATTCTAGGGAGAATTATTCAGTTGATGAGATTATTAGTTTTTTCAATAATCTGATTACTTTGATTAGGAGTATTAATTCTCACACTCATATTGTCTTTTCTTCTATTTTGCCTCGTCCGTGTGATTATATGGATACAGGTGCGAAAGTTAAACAAGTCAATAAGTTGTTGGAAGGTCTATGTAAAGAAAGGAATTGTCAATTTATTCATTCATTTAGGCCTTTTTTCAAGTTTGGTAAACCAATTCGTTCACTATTTGCTGTTAAAGACAAAGGTCTTCATTTGAATTTAGAAGGCACGCGTTTATTACGTCGTTTTTTCATTAATACGGTGTCGCATTTGATTAAAGGTAAAGTGGTTCTGTAAGATGTTGTTTACTCAGCATGTAGCACTGTATGTTATATATGTATATATTCATGTTTATATGTTAAGTTTATGTCTGTATATAAGTTTGTTATAATTTCAATGAATGTAGCTCTGTCAAAATTGTTCATGGTGCTTTATTTTGATTCAGATACATAGTCTTTAAAGGGAGTTGTTCTTATTCCTTTAGACTTCTTGTACGTGGTTCGACAGTATCTTTATGTCTTACACGTTTTTATTACCTTTTGAAGGAGGTTTTTATCACTTCTTCGAGGTTAGAGGACTTGTGGTAATGGTTTTCTTGACGTTACCCTAGTCTTGTTGAGATTGATATAGTTTTGATTTTGCTGCATTCTTCTATGACTATTAGATTTGTTTAATTTGTAACATTGATTGATATGTATTTTGTCAGTGATTTGTTTTTTGTTTTTTTTTTTTTTTTTTTTTTGCTTTATGTTTTATGTTTTGGCGGGTTTTGGCGGAATCTGATTAATGTAAGCCCTTTTGTTATATTGACTTTGGACATTTATAAATTATCATGGATTATGTTCTATAATGTTAGTTCTTACATTAATCCATTATTAAGTAATATTGAGTTTTATTTACTTAAGTGTCATACATAAATCAATAAATATATTTTGGTACATTATTTCCTGGAGTTTGCTTCTGATTTTGAGATAATTATAGATAATACAGGAAATAATTAAGTTTTCGGAATCTGAAATAATATACAAAAAAAAATGAAAAAAAAATTCTAGAAATAAAAATGATAGAATTTCAGGGGCATAATGGGCCTTTAATGTATGGAAATCTGATGTTTATCATCTATACTTTACAGCTTCAAAATCGTTAAACGATCCCACTTATAAACAGACGATCACTCTAAGCAGGCGATCACACTTAGTAGGCATTAATGACTATATAAATTTAAATTTGAAATCTTTTCATTCAAAAGAGAAACGAAATGTGAAAATAAACTGACAGAGAGATTTCTTTTTAAAACAACTATTATGAACGATAATTCAGATAAAAACTGACAAATTACCTTTAAATGTGCTTTTCGCTATACGTTGGTTATAGTTTGACGGGTTTTCTTCCATTTTGCAGGTATTTTGTCTCTTACAAATATATTCGTCTACACTGTAAGACTGCACATTTCAACTGCGGTAACTACGTCTGATTGTTACGTCACAATCAATAAATGCGCCGTTTAATCATAATGTAGCATTATGGGACGTCATGACGTCTTTCTGCAACAGACGTTATTTTATTTAACGGTGAATCAGTAAACATTATAGAGGATATTGAATGAGTGTAGGTTTTATACTAAATTTATTGAACAAGTTGAATAAATCATATTATGCGAGGCTCTGGCGAGCATAATATTATTTTATTCAACGAGTTCAATAAATGTAGTATTTATTAAACAAGTTAAAAAAAATTCGGAAAAAAACATCAGTTTTACGAGCTTACCGTTCAAAAGCCATTTGACCAATTCCAATGCAAATTCAATTTTGTACAACTAGAGAGGGTCTTCTTTGCACACGAAAAGGCCTAAAGCCCTAACCCAAGTAATATGTCCAGGAGATTTCCGCGTGGCTTGGTCATTTTTTGCACCGGCGATTTGTTCTTTCTCTATGTAAATTTCGGGAAGAAACATCATATTCACGAGTCTACCGTTCAAAAACCATTTGATCAATTCCGTTGCAAATTTGATTTTGTACAACTTGAGGGGGTCTTCCTTGCACATGATAAGGCTTAAAGCCGTAACCCAAGGAACACGTCCATGAGATCTCCGCATGGCTAGGTCACTTGCCAGCGATTTGCTTTTTCTGTATAAAAATTTCGGTAAAAAACATCAATTTTACGAGCTTACCGTTCAAAAGCCATTTGACCAATTCCAATACAAATTCGATTTTGTACAACTAGAGATGGTCTTCTTTGCACATGAAAAGGCCTAAAGCCCTAACCCAAGTAACATGTCCAGGAGATTTCCGCGTGGCTTGGTCATTTTTTGCACCGGCGATTTGTTCTTTCTCTATGTAAATTTCGGGAAGAAACATCATATTCACGAGTCTACCATTCAAAAACCATTTGATCAATTCCGTTGCAAATTTGATTTTGTACAACGTGAGGGGGTCTTCTTTGCACATAATAAGGCTTAAAGCCCTAACCCAGGGAACACGTCCATGAGATCTCCGCATGGCTAGGTCACTTGCCAGCGATTTGCTTTTTCTGTATAAAAATTTCGGAAAAAAACATCAATTTTACGAGCTTACCGTTCAAAAGCCATTTGACCAATTCCAATGCAAATTCGATTTTGTACAACTAGAGAGGGTCTTCTTTGCACATGAAAAGGCCTAAAGCCCTAACCCAAGTAATATGTCCAGGAGATTTCCGCGTGGCTTGGTCATTTTTTGCACCGGCGATTTGTTCTTTCTCTATGTAAATTTTGGGAAGAAACATCATATTTACGAGTCTACCATTCAAAAACCATTTGATCAATTCCGTTGCAAATTTGATTTTTTACAACGTGAGGGGGTCTTCTTTGCACATAATAAGGCTTAAAGCCCTAACCCAAGGAACACGTCCATGAGATCTCCGCATGGCAAGGTCACATGCCAACGATTTGCTTTTTCTGTATAAAAATTTCGGAAAAAAAACATCAATTTTACGAGCTTACCGTTCAAAAGCCATTTGACCAATTCCAATGCAAATTCAATTTTGTACAACTAGAGAGGGTCTTCTTTGCACATGAAAAGGCCTAAAGCCCTAACCCAAGTAATATGTCCAGGAGATTCCGCGTGGCTTGGTCATTTTTTGCACCGGCGATTTGTTCTTTCTCTATGTAAATTTCGGGAAGAAACATCATATTCACGAGACTACCATTCAAAAACCATTTGATCAATTCCGTTGCAAATTTGATTTTGTACAACTTGAGGGGGTCTTCTTTGCACATGATAAGGCTTAAAGCCCTACCCAAAGGACACGTCCATGAGATCTCCGCATGGCTAGGTCACTTGCCAGCGATTTGTTTTTTCAGTATAAAAATTTCGGAAAAAAACATCAATTTTACAAGCTTACCGTTCAAAAGCCATTTGACCAATTCCAATGCAAATTCGATTTTGTACAACTAGAGAGGGTCTTCTTTGCACATGAAAAGGCCTAAAGCCCTAACCCAAGTAATATGTCCAGGAGATTTCCGCGTGGCTTGGTCATTTTTTGCACCGGTGATTTGTTCTTTCTCTATGTAATTTTCGGGAGGGAAACATCATATTCACGAGTCTACCATTCAAAACCATTTGATTCAATTCCGTTGCAAATTTGATTTTGTACAACTTGAGGGGGTCTTCTTTGCACATGATAAGGACCAAGGAAACACGTCCATGAGATCTCCGCATGGCTAGGTCACTTGCCAGCGATTTGCTTTTTCTGTATAAAAATTTCGGAAAAAAACATCAATTTTACGAGCTTACCGTTCATAAGCCATTTGACCAATTCCAATGCAAATTCGATTTTGTACCAACGGAGAGGGTCTTCTTTGCACATGAAAAGGCCTAAAGCCCTAACCCAAGGAACACGTCCATGAGATCTCCGCATGGCTAGGTCACTTGCCAGCGATTTGCTTTTTTTGTATAAAAGTTTCGGAAACAAACATCAATTTTACGAGCTTACCGTTCAAAAGCCATTTGACTAATTCCAATGCAAATTCGGATTTTGTACAACTAGAGAGGGTCTTCTTTGCACATGAAAAGGCCTAAAAGCCCTAACCCAAGTAATATGTCCAGGAGATTTCCGCATGGCTTTGGTCATTTTTTTGCACCGGCGATTTGTTCTTTCTCTATGTAAATTTCGGGAAGGAAACATTCATATTCACGAGGTCTACCATTCAAAAACCATTTGATCAATTCCGTTGCAAATTTTGATTTTGTACAACTTGAGGGGGTCTTTCTTTGCAACATGATAAGGGCCAAGGAACACGTCCCATGAGATCTCCGCATGGCTAGGTCACTTGCCAGCGATTTGCTTTTTTCTGTATAAAAATTTCGGAAAAAAAAACATCAATTTTTACGAGCTTACCGTTCAAAAGCCATTTGACCAATTTCCAATGCAAATTCGATTTTTGTACAACTAGAGAGGGTCTTTCTTTTGCACATGAAAAGCCTAAAGCCCTAACCCAAGTAATATGTCCAGGAGATTTCCGCGTGGGGCTTGGTCATTTTTTTGCACCGGCGATTTGTTCTTTCTCTATGTAAAAATTTCGGAAGAAAATCATTCCATTTACGAGTCTACCATTCAAAAAAACCATTTGATCAATTCCGTTGCAAATTTGATTTTTACAACGTGAGGGGGTCTCCTTTGCACATAAATAAGGCCTTAAAGCCCTAACCCAAGCGAACACGTCCCATGAGATCTCCGCATGGCAAGGTCACATGCCAACGATTTGCTTTTTCTGTATAAAAATTTCGGAAAAAAAACATTCAATTTACGAGCTTACCGTTCAAAGCCATTTGACCAATTCCCAATGCAAATTCAATTTTGTACAACTAGAGAGGGTCTTCTTTGCACATGAAAAGGCCTAAAAGCCCTAACCCAAGTAATATGTCCAGGAGAAAATTCCGCGTGGCTTGGTCATTTTTGCACCGGCGATTTGTTCTTTTCTTATGTTAAATTTCGGGAAGAACATCATATTCACGAGACTACCATTCAAAAACCATTGATCAATTCCGTTGCAAAATTTGATTTTGTACAACTTGAGGGGGTCTTCTTTGCCACATTTGCACAAATGAAAAAAAAAAAAAAAACAATGCCTTAAAGCCCTACCCAAAGGACACGTCCATGAGAAATCTCCGCATGGCTAGGTCACTTGCCAGCGATTTGTTTTTTCAGTATAAAAATTTCGCGAAAAAAACATCAATTTTTACGAGGCTTACCGTTCAAAGCCATTTGACCAATTCCAATGCAAAATTCGATTTTGTACAACTAGAGAGGGTCCTTCTTTTGCACAGTGAAAAGGCCCTAAAGCCCTAACCCAAGTATATGTCCAGGAGATTTCCGCGTGGCTTGGTCATTTTTTGCACCGGTGATTTTCTTTTCTTTCTTATGTAAATTTCGGGAAAAAAACATCATAATCACGAGTTACCATTCAAAAACCAATTTGATCAATTCCGTTGCAAATTTTATTTTGTACAACTTGAGGGGGTCTTCTTCTTTGCACATGATAAGGCCAAGGAACACCGTCCCCATGAGATCTCCGCATGGCTAGGTCCCAACTTGCCAGCGATTGTTTTTCTGTATAAAAAATTTCGGAAAAAAACATAAAATTTTACGAGCTTACCGTTTCATAAGCCATTTGACCAATTCAATGCAAATTCGATTTTGTACAACTTGAGGGGGTCTTCTTTCTGCCACATGATAAGGCTTTAAGCCCTAACCCAAGGAACACGTCCATGAGATCTCCGCATGGCTAGGTCTCTTGCCAGCGATTTGCTTTTTTCTTGTAATAAAAATTTCGGAAAAACATCAATTTTATACGAGCTTTACCGTTCAAAAAGCCATTTGACCAATTCCAATGCAAATTCGACTTTGCTACAACTAGAGAGGGTCTTCTTTGCACATGAAAAGGCCTAAAGCCCTAACCCCCAATAATATGTACAGGAGATTTCCGCATGGTTTGGTCATTTTTTGCACCGGCGATTTGTTCTTTCTCTATGTAAATTTCGGGAAGGAACATCATATTCCACGAGTCTACCATTCAAAAACCATTTGAATCAATTCCGTTGCAAATTTGATTTTTTGTACAACTTGAGGGGGTCTTCTTTGCACATGATAAGGCTTAAAGCCCTAACCCAAGGAACATGTCCATGAGATTCTCCGCATGGCTAGGTCACTTGGCCAGCGATTTGCTTTTTTCTGTGTTAAAAATTTCGGAAAAAAACATCAATTTTACGAGCTTACCCGTTTCAAAAGCCATTTGAACCAATTCCAATGCAAATTCGATTTTGTACAAACTAGAAAGGGTTCTCATTTGCACATGAAAAGGCCCCTAAAGCCCTAACCCAAGTAATATGTCCAGGATATTTTCCGCATGGCTTGATCATTTTTTGCGACCGGCCGATTTGTTTTTTCTCTATGTTAAATTTCGGGAAGGAACATCAATATTCACG